CAACAATGTTACATGTCTACTCGGATTGCTTTGTCTTCCTCAAATCCTCTTATTCTATTTTTGTCGTTGTTTGCTTGTTTATTTGATAGTATTCCTGCCCCTTTGGCCAGGAATAAAACCTTCTAGGGTCCCTCCTTGACACCACTCACTTTTCAACCAGGCCAACACACACACACACACACACACACACACACACACACACACACACACACCTGCTCCAACTCCCACTTCCTGGTAACCAAGTCACCATTCTCTTCGTCCTGGTCTGAAGATTCTTGTCCAGAGGCTGTGGGGGCCACTACACTTAGTAAGCCTCAAGTGAAACGTTTGGGAATTCACCTGAGGAGCACCACCTAGTGGATTACCAGTACTCCCAGTTTGGCATCCTGCCTCCTTGCTACCACACCTCTTCTGCACACCTGCATCTCAGTGTTTCCCCTCACCAAGACTCAAGTCACAGAGTCACAGTACCTCCTTCCAGGAGACTCAAATCTCCAGAGTATGCTTGTTTCGTCCTCTTCCAAGGGGGGTCTATCTGTGACAACCTACACTTCTCACCTACCCAAAGAGCCATCACTTTCTTACCTTCTCCAGCTCACATGGTCCTGTGTCACTGCATTCACCCCACCTGGCCTAGTATTTTACTCATGGATTTGGAGCCAGCATAGCAGTGTGATAGAATGGCTCCCTGTCTGGCTCCACAGCTAACTGTCTACACAAACATCCCAGCAGTGATACCCATATCACCAGGAACCCGGTAAACAGTCCCACCCTGCTGAGCAATCCCCAGCTCACCTGGCTCCCCAAAGGTACCTGTCATCGACTGTCTGCTGTGGGTGTCCTTGTTTCTTCTAGTTCTGGTGCCAGCCACTCTCGTCACCTATCTCTCTGCTGTTCTGGGATCCCTCAGTCCCAATTCGATTTCCCTCATCCTGAACTCAGATTGAGACCTTGGCGCCTCCCTTCTCCCCTACTTTTCAGAAGTTACACTAGTGACTGTAAAAGAAGTCCAAGCTTTTTCTACCATTAAATTGAGGGTTTTTTGTAACATTTGTCAAATAAAAGCCTTGGTTTTAAATTACTACAAACCCAGAGATTCCCCCAGCCCTGCCAAGTGTTGGGATGAATGCAGGCACCAGGCAGGAAGCAGGCTATTCACCTCCTGAAGACTTCTCCGGACTCTCAGGAACTTGTAGGCAAAATCATCATCCTGGTTTTCATTGAAGTGGAACACGACATGCTCCACAGAAATGGCAAATGTCTTCTCATTCTTGTCAATCTCTACAAACTTAAAGTTGCAATCATGAATCCCCAGCACAAGGAGTGCCACAGGCAGGACTGACTTCCACAACATGGCTGTCTTCAGAGTCAGCACTGAGAGCTGAGGATACACGGGTGGAGGGTTGGCGCAGCTGCAGGCAGTGATGCATCCCACATGGCACTGCCCACCAGAGGCCCTGGAGTGCTAAGAGCGTCACTTTGACTAGGGCATCCTGCCAGTGGCATCTCTACTCCTCCACCTTGACCCATCCTTTGTCTGAAAGTAGAAGGCAGAAGAGTCCACATTTTCCAGACCATTGTGACATAAGCCACAGGATCATGGGTATACTGCCACATACCCTATGCTTGTACATCTCTGGGCCTGCCCCCACCCCAGGCCTGCCCGTTCATAAGAATTGCTGTGAAGTTCTGGATTATAAATCCAACCAGTTTATCCTTACCACTCTTATTTCCAGAACTGGTAGGGTCACAGAAACTCTCATGAGGTAAGATAGGTCTTACACTTTAGAATTAAAAAACAGATGGCAATGACCTTGGAGCCTCAGAAGACCACAGTGGGAAGGGTGAGTCACTACTGGGAGATCATCTTCTCTATCATATCTGTAGTCTTGGTGGCAAACTCATCACCTCTGCCTCCTTCCTGAGGCCTGCCCCGGGCGTGCTTTGCAGCCCAGTACCAGGAAGAATCAGAATGGGGGGAAATGGGTCTGCAGAAGTGAATACAAATGGCAGCCATGAGCCTAGAAGCTGATTGGACTCAGAAAGGGGCATCTGCTGATATGCATCCACACCCAGCTCTGCCGTTTGCCCCTGTGCCATACACTTTGCTCCACACTTTGCCTCACTTCTATGGAGATTGATGAGAAGTAAATAAGGCAAAGGGATGAGTAAGCTGGAACGCTGTGAAGATTGCCACCACTGAGGGAACTCATGCTCAAAGTGTAGGGGAATTTGAGGTTGGGGAGGTGGGAGTGGGGGGGGGTGTGGGGGAACACCCTCACAGAAGCAGGAAGCTGGGAATAGGGGGATAGGGGGTTTCCAGGGGGAGGGAACCAGGAAAGAGGATAACATTTGAAATGTAAATAAAGAAAATATCCAATATAAATAAATTTAATTAATTAATTAATTAATTTAAAAAAGACCCAAAACCTAACCATTGCCTTGGGGACAGTGTAAAAGCAGAACTATCACTCTGGCATAGAAAGGGACAGGACTGTGGACATGATTGAAAACGCCTTCCTACAGCTTCCGTGTGGGAGGAGGTGACCTCTCAAGGCAGCCTGATGATGGATGCTCTCTTAGTGAGGTTTCTATTGCCCTGATAAAGCAGCGTGACAGAGATCATTTTGAGAAGGAAAGGATTTATTTCATCTTATAGTTCGTAATCTAACATCAGAGAAGTCAGTGTGGGAACTCAAAGCAGGAATCTGGAGGCAGGAACTAACAACGAGGCCATTCATGAATGCCACTTACTGACTTGCTTCTCATGGCTTGCTCAGCCTCCCTCCTTACACAACTCAAGAGCACACAGAGGGCTGGGCCCTTCCACATCAATCATTAATCAAGAAAATGTCCTTCAGACTTCCTACAGGAAATCTAGTGGAAACATTTTCTCAACATAGATTCCTCTTTCCAGATAATGCTAGCTTGTGTCCAGTTGACAAAAACAAAAATGATGATGAGAAGAGATGCTAAAAATGAAGATATCTCTTCCCCCCAGGAGTACTTCAAAACATGCCTAAGCCCTTTGAGTACCTACCAGAGTAGATTCCTGTATCTGTTTAAATTCACCCTTACTTGTAGCAGGCTCATCATATCTTACCATCATCTCTCTGAGATTCCCCAGATCTGTACTATGGTCCCTTCTCATTGAAGCTTGTGAGTTGACTGTCTTCTCCAAACCTATATTTAGTTTACCAAAGGTTAGCAACTGTTTTATCCCTCCTAAGGTGCTGTTTTCTCTTATATATTTTTGTTAAAATCCACTATCCCTACTCTGTACTTTTTTCCAGATTCAAATAAGAATTTAGGAGGAGGGCAGTCTTGACCTAGAATCCAAGGTAAATATCTGCTGTCTTGTCTGCTCTCTGGAGTGCACACTCCCACATGTACAGTATGTCTCTTGATGCTCTATGGCAGCGCGAATCCACTGATTTGTTACTTCAGGATTTATTGAGGGTTGGGAAGATGTTACAGGACTAGCCACACTAGCATAAGAATCTGAATTCAAATCCTCAGAGCCCACATGAATCTAAGATATGGAAGCTTATATCAACAACACCAGTGTTTCTCTGACAAGATGGGAAGCAGAGACAGGACAATCCCATGCAAGTCTCTAGCCATTTAATCTGGCGCACCAACAAAATATAGCCTGTCTCAAAAAAGGTGTAAAGTGAGCCCCAACACCCAAGGTTGTCCTTGGACCTCCATACATGTGCAATGGCAGCCACATACCAGTGTTTACACACATAGACACTCACACACCATAGATTTAATGGGGTTTTTTTCTCATTAAATAAATAAGAATGGAGCCCAGAAAGATGGCTTGGTGATTGAGAGTATTTACTGCTCTTCCAGAGGAACTGGAGTTTGGTTCCCAGCACCTAAGCCAGTTAGCTCTGCAGGCACATGTACCCATATGTATATACCCACATTTAAACAAACCCATATCCCCTAACACACACACACACAACTTACTTGCATGAACACATGGAATAAACATACAGATAGAAACACATACATAGTTTTAATAATTAAAAATAAAAAAACCTTTTTTTAAAAAACTAAGAATGTTTTAAGTATGTATTTTTAAAAACATCCTATTCTCCTTTGGTTCACTCTACTAGCACTCAGAGATATAAAGCAAAATGTTCAAGTATTTACCTCCTTAATTTTTAGTTGAGTTTCACTGTGGTCAGAGAACACAATCTATATGACATTCATTCACTGAAGTTCATGAGGATGTAGATTATGGACCAAAACGTGGTTATTCACAGGTTCAAAAACAGTTCATACACTGAACTTAGGTGATGGTTTATATGTATAAAACACAAAATCAAATTTGTTTAATAAATTCTCACATTTTCTATGTCTTTAGTGATTTCGATTCTGTGGATCTGTCAGTTACTGAGAAAGGTACCTGAAACTCTCCCATTAGAACCACATGTTTTCTTCTAGCTCTATCAGACAGGCTGTCCACCCTGAATCTGAGCCTGGTCCCACTGCAGAATGAACACCACTGTGAGCCTGGTTCCTGACATAGAAGCATGAAGAGGCAAATGACTATTCCCTGGAAGAAGTGTTCTGTTTTCTTTCATTTACTTTTCTTTTGTTTTCTTTGTGAGTTTTAACATCACTGTGTTGCCTAAGCTAGTCTCCAGCTTGTAGGCTTCTAAGATCCTCCCCCTCGACCTCCTGTATAGTACTAGACTATAGGTGGGGACACTATGCCTGGCTTCTGCATTCCTTATGAATGCATAGGTGAAGGACATACAGAAATTAGAGAATCAATGAATATGTAAATGAATGAAAGAGAACACAAATCAACCAGTCCAGCCCATATATAAGCTGCTTCACATGAAATGAGTTGTCTGACTCACTCTGAAATCTATACCTGTAGTCATGGCAATAAAAACAAAAATGCTTATCATTGAAGATGGTATCCTTAGCAAATTAACAACATAGAAGACCCCAAGCACTGCTCAGGGATTCAGAAGATTCTTTGAGATGCTTTTAATTGCATTAGCAGTACACAGACCTTGGGCTACAGATAGTCATACTCCAGAGGAAGGGAGAATACTATATGTATCCAAAGTCTCTCTCCCACTTCCCCCGCTCATGTCGGCACACAAGTGCTAGTCAGGATGGTGAACTGGGAAAACCGAGGTTGTGCTTCTACTTGGAAAACACAATGCACCTGAAAAAAATAACCATAATACATAAGTTAGAACATTTTAATGATTGAAATAATGCAGCATGCAAGATGGAAAAAAAACTTTTTTTTAAAAAAAAATAAAACTGAAACAACCATTTTACAGTAGCAAGGAGCAAAAAGCTCAAACCTCCACTAGAACAATGGACATCAGTCACAAACTCCCTCCACCTGAGAGAAGGGGCTACTGAAAAAGTTCTTCACCCTGTCAGCTCCCTGCTCTGCAACCTATGATGGTGGATGAACTTCCCCATCCAAAAGATCCTGAAGGAATAAAAGGAGTGTTTGAACGAAGGTCCCATCAGGCACTTTCCAACAGAACAGTAGTTCAAACCACCCCAAATGATTCTGCGTCAAGGCCATTAGCTGGAAGGTGAAAACAAAACCTGACAGAGTTCCGCAATGGAAAGCCATCTTCAAGGTTCCAGACCCCACGGATTACATGTCAGACAGGACAGTGATGTCACTGAAAATCACCCAGAATCTATCAGTAAATTCAGAGTAAATAGATAAATTACATAATTCCTAATCCCAAGATACGGGCAAAAGGGGGCTGATGACCACAGGAAAAATTTCATCTTCCAGAATCCTGATGGTCTCTAAAGGCCAAATGAGAGCCTCAGGCATGGTTTATCATAGATGGAAGCCATGTGGACATCTGCAGTAGAGGGGTGCCTTAGGCTTGGGAGCCAGGCTCTGTCTGCTTAAGATGGCCCCTCTGACACGTTCATAGCAGCTCTATTCATTATAGCCAGAAACTGGAAATAACCCAGATGTCACTCAACCAAAGAATGGATACAGAAAATGTGGTACATTTACACAGAGGAATACTATTCATCTAGTAAAAACAAGGACGTCGTGAATTTTTAGGTCAATGGAAGAAACTAGAAAATATCATCCTGAGTGAAGTAGCCCAGACCTGAAAGAACATGCATGTATTCGCTGATAAGTGCATGTTAGCCATAAAGTACGGAATACCCATGATATACCCCATGGACCCAAAGACATTAAACAAGAAGGATGGCCCAAGCAAAGATGCTTAAATCACACTTAGAAAGAGAAACAAAATAATCATAGGAGGCAGAGGGAGGGAAATGGGTGAGAGAGGGGAAGAGGAGAGTTACAGGGAGGCAGGATTAGGTGCAGGGAGAGACAGGAAAGAAGCCCAGAGGGCCAGGAGAATAAATGGAAATCTGTAGCTCTCTGGGGTGTGGGAGGGGAGAATCTCTAGGAAGGCTCAGAGGCCTGGGATAGGACAGACACCCAAGTGTTAATGCAGGTGACCTTAGAGAAGATGCCCCAATGCCCAACAGTGAGGACATGAAACCTAAAGAGGCCACCTCCTGTAGACAGGCAGGACCCCCAGTGGAAGGATAAGGACAGGAGCATGCCCACAAAACTTTCAAATTATACTTATATACTTATTCAACTTATACTGTCTAAAATAAATGCAGGAATGGAGCAGAGACCAAATGAAAGATCAACTGATAACCAGCCCAACTCGAAACCAAGAGGGAAGTAGATGGGAACGCCACAGAAAGACCAAAAGAATCAACAAACCTCGACCCCTGGAAGCTCTCAAGAGTCTGAGCCACCAACCAAAGGATAAACACAGGCTGGAACGCTGGAACAAGGCCCCAGCATATATGTAGCAGTCTTCATGGCTGTCTTGTCTGGCCTCAGTGGGAGAGGATGTGTCTAATCAGGCTGAGACTTGATGTGGCGGAGGGGGTAGATATCCAGGAGAGGGGGGTCTATCCTCTCAGAGAAGAGGAGGGAGGTAGAGGGAAGGATTCTGTGGGGGAAGGGCCAAGAAGGGAGCAGCGTTTGAGATGTAAACAAATAAATTCTCACAGCTAATCATTGAACTGATCATGGGGTTCCCAATGGAGGAGTTAGAGTGAAGACTGAAGGAGCTGAAAGGGTTTGCAACCCCATGAGGAGAGCAACAATACCAACCAACCAGAGCCCCCAGGGTCTAAACCACCAGCCTGGGAGCACTTAGGGAGGGACCCATGGCTCCAGCTATATATGCAAGGGAGGATGGTCCTGTCAGGTATAGGTGGGAGAGGAGATCCATGGTCCCATGAAAGCTGGAAGCCATGTGTGGGGGAATTCGAGGGTGAGGAGGTAGGAGTGGGGGGGTAGGTGGGGCCACATCCTCATAGAAGCAGTAGGAGGGGGGATGGGATAGAGGGTTCCTGGGCGGTGGGGGGGGGAATGGAGTAAGGGGAGAACATCTGAAATGTAAATAAAATATCCAATAAAAATAATAATTAAAAAAAAGAAGAAAAAATTGAAATGTTAAAAAAGAAAGAAAGAAAGATGGCACCTTCTGTGTAGTTCCTGGTAGGTCAACTGCATCCAGTTAATCACTCCACACCCAAGAATAGATAGGTAGCACAAACTAGACTCGATAGATTAATAAAAAAAAAAATAGGACATGAAGTTGGGCAGTGAAGGTAGATATGGGAAGTTACGGGAGAACCAGACTTGTATAAAATCCTCAAAGAATTAATGCAAATATTTTTTAAATAAAATAAAATAATAAATAAATGAATATGGGGAAAAGATGGTCCTTTCTGTTTCCAGTGAGGGAGCCCTGAGATGTCTCCTCATTCTACCTGGATTTTCTCATACCCTCTCTAACCCCTGTTCCAGGCTTTGCCTGATTATCTTTTTATTCCCAAAAGATCAGATATAATCGGAAATAGTTTGATTCTCTAACCTTCTTTTCTCCTGAACCTTGTAGCAATGGGCAATTATGGATGTTTTCATCATATTTCTTACAAACTGTGCGGCCCATCTCCAAATCCACTAAAAACATCATTGTCCATGTCTGTAGAGAAGAAATTATGCAAAAAGTTGATAAATACTTGTTTTTTATAAATACAAAAAAATCAGGAAGATCAAGTAGAAAGTGGACAAATGCTTGGAATATCCATGTGCTTATAGATAGGCATCCTTATGGCTGGGCTATCAGTGTTTGTTAACAGAAATGTGCCTTTGAGAGCCACAAGACACGTACCAGTCTTCTTCTGAACTTCCTGCTGAAGTCTGGCACTCTACAGGGACATGGACATGTAGGGTATGGCACATTCACAGGATCACAATCTAATTCTACACAAAAAGCAACCTGCACACACTGCAGCTCCACATGATGATGTGACAACTCTCATTCACTTGAGCAGCTTGGGCTAGGTTCAGAAGTGCCTGCTAAGCCACTCCTTTGATATAGAACAAGAAACAGGCAGGACTCTACCTTTGCTAGGGTATGAGGAACTTGGGGGAATCTACTGACTTTTACATAAGCAATGACTGCATGCAAATACTCCTCTTAGAGACACATTGTGGTGAATGCATAGTCATATCATCCAGTTTTAAATCTGCTCAAGATGCTATGAGAAGTTATTAAGAATGATTGTCATACCCTTAAACAAATATACATGAAAATTCAGAGAGTACCCAAGCAGGAAATCCTACCACAGAAGAATGCTCATCACAGGGGATTATTGTGGAGACTGCCAAAAAAGCTGACTGAAGTGGGCACTTATGAATTTATACAGTAATGATACACCCATCTTTGCACAACACACATCAAATATACAGCATACCTTAACAAAACACACTAGAAGTCTTTACCTACATTTATGCTTGACACATATTAAGAATATACTTACTCCATCACGTCTGTTCCACACCTCCATATTCAGTCCCATATGATGAGCTAGGCCTGCATCTCCACAGCTGCGAGGCAGCTAGAGGTGGTAAAGTGTTTGATACCAAGGGTTCCTAGGATCCAGGTCCCAGGACTAAGAACAGACCAAGACGGAGTCACACAGAAAAAAAGCAAATGTGTCCTTGGTCAGAGAGTGTCTCTAGATCCGTAACTATATTCTGCAGGCCAAGTACTCTCCTCACTCACTAGTCCCTGCTGATGCCCAGCACCCCCCCCCAACCCCAAATCTAGGGCTCTTCATGAAGGGACAATGCTCTGCATGTAGACTCACCTTTTTCTGGGCTCTCTCAACTTCTAGCAACCTGTATGTGTTCTCTTCTGGGTTGTTGTCATTGAATTGAGCCACAGCAAACTCCACTGATGCCACAAAATAATCTAGATCCTTAGTACCATCTAAAAATTCTTTGTCAGTGGTCCATATATGAGTGCCTAGCACAATCAGTCCTACAAGCATGGGCACTTTCCACAACATGACTGTCCTTAGCATCAGCCTAGGGGCTGGGGACACAAAGGTAAAATGATGGTACTGCCACAGTAAACAAAAACCCTTTTAGGCTCAGGATTCCACATGGCTCTGCCTACCAGAGCCCTGTGCTCCTGACTGCCTCCTTTGTTCTTCTGTCTAAGCCCTTATCGTCACTCCCCTGCCTTATCCCTTCTCACCACCCCAAACAGAAGAAGATGTCCCCAACCCTGTGGTGACACAAACCCTGGCATGACAAACATCCATAAAATGCTCTCTGCATGCACATCTCTGGGCCTGTTCCCCAAGCTTTGCCAAGGCAAGTGCCACCTATTTTGCAGCCTTGAGGCACTGTGCCTGTCCCATTTGTCCTTACACAATGTTGGAAAGAGTTCCCAGAGTCAGAGGAACGTCTGTGAAATCTAGTAAACTCATTCCTGGAAAATGGAATCAATTGTTGCCTGCAGCACATACCACCTGCCAGGTTCAAGGCTAAACATTTAGGGGGTGTGCATGTGATGTCACCTTTCTCATTGTCCTGACCCTCTTTGGCCAGCAGTTAGATCTGACTCCATTCTCCTGGTTTTCTATGCTGATTTTCAGTTCCCCTCATTTTTGACAAGCTCTCATGTTCTCTGACATCTTTTCTGACCTCTGGACTCTAACTACAAACTCCTTGGATATAATCACAGCTGATTTCAAATCATCTTTCACTTACCAACTTCTAACTCAAGAAGACTATAGCACTGCCAGGTGGTGGTGGTGCACGCCTTTAATCCCAGCATTTGGTAGGCAGAGGCAGGCGGATTTCTGAGTTTGAGGCCAGCCTGGTCTACAGAGTGCGTTCCAGGACAGCCAGGACTATACAGAGAAACCCTGTCTCGAAAAAAAAAAAAAAAGAAGACGAAGAAGAAGACTATAACATAGAATATCTATTGTATTTTACTTGTCTTTGAAATCCATTGAGATTTATTTTTGTTGTTATTGTTGAATATGGACAATAGTCTCTGTGCTTTAGAACAGTTCATTTTGTAAGCATACTGTTAAATTTTCACATTGTAAGTCTTTGATCACTAGGCTGTATGTACAACATTCGTGGTTTCAAAGAATCTTTGACCTAATTCTTGTGCCACATTTGAGATCAGTCACTCCTGAATTCACTGAGACACAACACAACATAACGGAGTTACCATCTAACACTAGAATATTTTATCCTTTTTGAGTAATATGAATAGTATGTACACATAGAAAAGGAAAATATCTCCCTGCTTCCACTCCAGCCATTCATTCATAAGAACTTTGTATATCTGAGATTCAGAATGAAGCCTCCTCAGTCATTCATCCATAAGTGGTTAGTGTATCCTCAGATGCAGGATCAAGGCTACCAGTCATTCATCTATTTGTGTGTGTGTGTGTGTGTGTGTGTGTGTGTGTGTGTGATTTCAAAGAAAGTAAGGAAGTAGAGGATCATGGTAAGACTTGGAGGAGGAACAGATGGTACAAATGATATAAACAAGTACTCATGTATGAAATTCTCAAAAAAAAACCTTTTTAATTAAAGAAACATAACATACCAATTTAGAAAAAGAATTTTTTTAGCCTATCCCAACTGTGGGAAAACTTGCCCTGTGATCAGAGAAAGTATCAAACAAACAATGGTGCAACAGGGGTGACCTTATGGAGTAAATTTCTGAAGGTGTATTTGCCTAAAACCCAGTGATACTTAACGTGTTTCATTTTCCTTTGAGGATGAAGGTCCAGAGAGTTACTGAGGCATCTTACATCAGCTTTTACACAGTCCTGTTCTAGTTCCTGAAAGGAGCCTAAACATCTGTAGTCACTGGCTTCCAAGACCAGCCAAGCCTCACAGACAGCTCACCAGATGAAGTCACCCCCTCCCCAAAGAGGAGCAATCATCTCCAGGGTATCATATTGTCCCCTCAAGCAATAGCACTTCTGTGGTTCACCTCATAGAGCCAGACTGAAATAAACATCAAGCAGACCTCACCTTGATTAAGATTGCCTAATTACATGTACCTCATTTCTTGTCCCCACAATCCAAGATTTTTCCTATATTTAAGTTCATGTCAGTACCCTAAAGATGAGTAGAAAGGCTTAATTTCCATCTTTCCACTATAACCATTTTATTTAAAATCCTTTCCTGTTCTTTTGCCATCACTTTGCTCTGCATTCTTTGGGGCAATTGGCTCAGTGTGATGTGTTGGGCTCTCCTAGGATTTCAGGCTTAGGGTTCTGGTAACAGGAAGAGCTAAGGAAAGAGGGTGTTCCCTGCAGTATACAGTATAAATCTAACAACATGACCTTCAAAATGAAAAAAGGGATAAACTACACCAGTTAGACCGGCCACTAGGACACTGGGCACAGATCCAAGCAGCACTGCAAACACTGTGACCAACACTGAGGGTTCAAAATCTGCAGCCTGAATGCAACTCTGATCAAGTGCCTATCAAAAAAGCCTTTCATTGTTCCCTCAGACAATTTTGAAAATGTCTGAATTGCAATTCAAAATTATTCTATATTTGAAGAAGCAAGAAAATTTCAAATCCCATAGGGAAAAAAAATAGAAACTTTCTAATACAGATGTTGGAAACAAAAAGAAACTTTAACAGGGACATTAGGAAAATGTTCTAGAAAATGAGTAGTCTTATCATTGATTTTGTGAACCCTACACTGCCACAGTGCAGAAGGACTCATTCCTCATAAATATATGTTTTAAGTTAAAATTAAATATTTGATGGTGAGAACCATCAAAATGAGTGAAGATGTTTTCTGATCATGTTTAGGACATGTGCTGCAATGACAGTGGGTTAAAATGGATCAGATTTGTTACCTAGAGGGCAGGGTCTAACAGTTTTCACGAGACTAAAATCAAATGCTAGCAGAGCTGTGTTCTTCCTTACGTCTCTAGGTAACTGGCTACCCCCTTCTCTTTTCAGCTTCTAAGGCCACTGTACCTCTTGCCTTTTGGCCTCTTCTTCCAGAGGCAGAGCTTCAAAGCCCTTGTGTTTCCATGATCTTCTCATGGTTCTCTGGCTGTGTGTCCTCTACCCATTCTTATAGGGATTTTTGTGGCTATGTTGGATCTACCCAGATTACCCAAGGGGATCTCTCTTTTTCTCTTTCTCTATCAAGTTCTTTACTTACAGAAGCAGAGATGTTCTTGCCATGTGTGGTGGATTAATGTTCTCTGACACTATTAGGAGTTGTGGCCTTGTTGGAGTAGGTGTGGCTTTGTTGGAGGAAGTGTGTCACTGCAAGGGTAGGCAACGGGACCGTCCTCATAGCTGCCTTCAGATGAAGATGTAGAACTCTCAGCTCCTCCTGCACCAAGCCTGCCTGAATGCTGCCATGCACCAGTCTTGATGATAATGGACTGAACCTTTGGATCTGTAAGCCAGCCCCAATTAAATGTTTTCCTTATAAGAGTTGCCATGGTCACAGTGTCTGTTCACAGCAGTAAAGCCCTTACTAAGATACTATGTAAGCATAGCCACAGGATCTGAAAATTGAAGACATGTTGCTATATCACTTAACTTTTCTTACATGTACTATATCACTTATTTTTCTTGTTATTGTGACAAAATACATTGCAAACATAACCTGTGGTAGGAAAGGTTTATTTTGGCTCACAGTTTGAGAGAACAGTTCAACGTGGCAGGGAAGGGATGGTGGAAGGAGCAGGAGGCATCTGGTTGTACTGTGTCTGCAGTCAGGAAGTAGAGAGAGATAGCTTTCTCCTTTTTATTCAGTTAAGGTTCCCAGTGCACTTGTAACCACACTGGGGCGAGTTTTCTTCCTCAATTAAATCTTTTTGGAGAGACACACGTTTTCACAGTGATTCTATCTACAGTGAACTTGACAATGGAGGTTAACCTTCACATGAGCCTTACTTAGCTCAGGCCTCAGTACAAAAAAGAACCCAGCCTGGATCAGCAAGGCCACCTGGCTGACCAACAGCAACAAGCAAAGTATACAAGAAAACTTTTAATGTCTTCTGAAAGGAATAAAAAGGGAGTGAATGAAAACTATAATAAATATAACTCTCAGTATGACCCAAATTTAATTCTCTATGAAGTGGTATAATTACTGTTAATCTAAATTCAAAATATTAACAAGAAGTGGCAAACTAAATTAATTTTTAAAAATTATTGGAAAGTTAAACAAATTCTTAAGGAAGAAAGAGGAAAACAAATGCTACAGACTCTGAAGATTGGAAGAGCCAATTGGCTATGCAGGTGCTTGAGCCTCATACCTAGGATTCTAGAGTCAGACAGGGGGAAAGGGCAGAGAATAGACCAGCACTCTCTGAGAGTGGGACAGAACTTAAGCACAAAGTGAGTCACACACTCAGGGAATGTTGTGTTTGATCAAGGTGAGTTTCAAGTTAGTGGGTTTTAAGAAAAAAATGGTTCAACAAGTAGGACTAGTAGAAGTAAATCGTCATCTGCTAATAGATAGACAGCTATAGGTAAATGATTGATAGATAGATAGATAGATAGATAGATGATAGATGGATGGATGGATGGATGGATAGATAGATAGATAGATAGATAGATAGGCAGGCAGATAGGCAGATGATAGGCAGATAGACAGATGTGTGCTAAATATACAACTTTAGATAGACAGGTAGACGGACAGACTTAGATAAACAGAAATCTGCTAAGAGACAGGCAGATATGAGGTGAGGGGGTAGAGTGTGAGATAAAAACACAGTTTATGCTTTCCAAACAGCATCAATGGGTCAAAGGAATATGTCTAAACACATGACAGTCAGAACAGCCATCCGTGGCTACCCTGCTAAAACTCCAGTATTGCACCTAGGGAATATTGGCTGTTCTGGGAGAAAGAGACTTCCTGTCGGTGTCGGTATTGGGGGTGGGGTGCTCAGCTGATAAGGTATCTGCTTGATTTCAAAGCTGTGGGGCAAGAGTCTGATACATTTGCCCTACGATTAGTATAAATATGTATGAGGAATTTGGGGCAACCAGCAGAGTTTGTGGGAAGGGTATTCTCATATACTGCTGACAGTATACAAACCAGGAAGCATAACCAAAGCTAAAAACAGAGTAATGCTTGAACAGGGGTGCT